GAAATTGGAAGATTAGGGTTGTGACTTGTAAGTATATGGACTTGGGTAGAGCTGTTTAGTGCTACTTTTTTCAAATTTGGGCCTTTTTTTATATATAATTAGGCTTGGGCGGGTCGTAAATCTTAATAATTAATAGGAAATTAGAAATTGACAAAAATACCTACAAAATGACAAAATTATTCAATTTTACAAAATTGAAATTTTGAATAAATTTTCAAAAAAAATTAATTTTTTATTTTATATACTTTTCGCCGGTTCGATTTGGTTTCAAACATAAACCAAACCGTTTTTGACCGATTTGGTTTGGTTCAAAATCATTTCGTTGAAGGGTCCACGTGACACCAAACTGCCGGTTTTGAAATTGCGGTTTAAGTTCGGCTATCCGATTTGACGATTTTTGTTTACTGCCCTAATTTGGACGTCACAAATATGAAAGCAAATCACAAAGGTAGAAGACAAATCTTTCACCTCCAGGAGCTTCACTCTACAATTCACTCCTCGGACTGGACAGCCCCCAAAAACACAAAATCAAGTAATTTTACTTTTCATTTTTCAATCATAGTTTGTTCAATTTCTAAATTATATGTCAAATTATATGATTGATTGGCACTAATTTTGCACTGCGTCTTCATTATTATATATCCGGTTGACTTAATTGATTTGTCATCCTCAATGATGAAATCGACTGGACAATTTTGATAATCAGAATTTTGTGTGAATTCAATTATTATTTTTATCAACCTCAGATCTTGATCACATACATCTCCATATTGAGATTTTTTTTTTCGGTTTTCTTTGAATTATTCTTCAGATTTGGTTGTGATTCTATTTCTGACGTTTGATTTGTATATATGTCTACAATATCAAAATGGCGTCAGTAAATGGTTTGTGAAACCTTTAAGAATTATGATTTTTTTTTTTCTGTGGAAGATTGTGCACGTCCCCTTTGCTTATGAAAATTAAGCGCGTCTTGATATATTTTCCAACTGATTTTTTATGAAAATTATTTAGACAACCAAACTATGTGAAGGATAGCGAAATGGTTCTTGCATTGTATTTGAGTCTATGGCTTCATTTGGATTGTGTTTGTTGTGTCTAGAATTACCTTTTCCGTACTTCAGTGAATTAATACTACAGTCGTGTTCATGATTTAGTTGAATTACAAAATACATTTGTTGATGTCGATAGAATACACGGTTAATTACTGAAACTATGTTGCACTGTAAATTGCATTTGCATTCCCTTTAACGCAGTTCAAAAGTTAAATTTACCTCTCTTTTATCTTTTTTCTTCCAACTCTTGATGAATTCCATTTTATTACTGCAGTTTATTATGGTTGCAAGATATTGAGTCTTCAGTTACAAGTGAAGACTGCTAGTGTATACAATAGAGGAAACAAAACAATATTGAGATGTTTTCACTGATTTATGGACTGTGGAAACAGATCTTCAACAAGATCGAGTTTCATGTTCTTATTCTCGGAATTGACAAGGCTGGAAAAACAGTAATATGCTCAACTACCCTCCCTCTTCTGGAATTCGGGAATATTAAATCCAGCTTCATATTCTGATGAAATCGAGTTGATACTGACAAATAGAAAATCACATGCATTACCATGTCCCTTTTTGAACTCTTTTTTTGGTTCAATTCTGATAGTATGAAATTTCATAGATCTATCTTTTATGGATCTAAAATCTGCACTACCTGTTAATTCAGAGGAGAATCAAGCACAGAGAGGTGAAAGTGTCCCTGTCATTTTACCTAATAGTAGAAATGGAATTACCCGAGGAAGTAAGTTGCACTACATCTTCAAAGTTTTGACACTTTCTTTAAAAAATGAAATCCCTTCTGTAGACAGTATTAAGGAAACGATAGAATAGTTAATATTTATGGAATTGGAGCTTATTTTGTCAGATTTATTGAGTATTAATATAAAGTTTTTCCCATATATAATATGTACTACATGATTTCTAGTCTCAGCAACAGTTCATTTACCCCTTTGTAGCTTTCATTCTTTAAGAGAGTGCTCAAAATATATATTGGCAGCACTTAGTAAAATGTTTTGCATTAATTGGAAACTGCCTCCTAGACCAATGCCAAAACCTGTATGGTACAATACCTTCAAGTGAAATATATGCAATATACTGCTTTCAACAACATTTGGTTCATTTTTCTTCGTTCTGTATATCCATGGAGACATGTTTCGATGTCTACTATCGAAGTCAATCAGCTATTTACAATAATATGGAATTAATATCCTACATTCCAAGCTCATCACAAATTATTACGGATTTGCAGACATTACTGGAGAAATTGAAAACACGGTACACAAACTTGGAAGGCCTTCCCCCAGATCGAATTATTCCAACTGTAGTACTCAATATTGGTCGCGTTGAAGTGTCAAATGCAAAACTTGTATTTTGGGACCTGGGAGGTCAGGTTTGAAATGTGCACTAGACTTAACTAAATTGATTTTATGAGACTGTAAAATTCCCTTGCAATTTTGTTGAAGTCACTATCCCAGTCTCATTAAATTTGAATCATCTGCCACTTTCCCCGTTATTGGTTTGCTCATTTTTATGTCTTAATTTGAACCACTAGATTAAATTTGCTCCTGTTTCTCTAGCTTGACGCGTCTCCTGAATTCATCCACCATGGTGACTTTTATGGCAGTCGTTCTTTTGCATGAGCTTCTTGATTGGTCCTGCTTAATTTATACCTATTTCATTGTGAATTATAACACTGATGCAAGGTCGTTATTCTTCCTCAGCCTGGTCTTCGCTCAATTTGGGACAAATATTATGAAGAGGCACACGCTGTGGTTTATGTAGTTGATGCTGCTTGTCCGTCCCGATTTGAAGATTCAAAATCTGCACTCGGTAAACCAACCTTGTGAAAAAAAGTTTCTGGGGCTGCAACTGTCAATAGTTCATGCTACTGATATTCGTGTTTCTTTATGTTGTCTTAACATTGGAATTGTTTCCAGAGAAGGTTCTTCGACACGAGGATTTGCAAGGATCCCCACTTCTGATATTAGCGAACAAGCAGGTAAAGTTATTGCTTTCGTGACACATGCATAGTCGCGACAACAATACGTGTTCAAAATGTTGATTAAGGAAGATATTCATATACATCCTCTTCTTATGTTTGCCCCTATAACTTAATTGATTATGATAAAACTTTTAACCAATGATGCATTGCTGAGATAGGCTTTTTGAATATCTTTAAGTTGCCTGTCATTCAATCGTGATTGCTAATTAGCATTAAAGATCCATCTATACCTGAAGTGAGAAACTGAAAGTAGTATAAAATTATAAACATACAAATGCTTCAAAAACTCTCCTTGTTCCATGGTCCTTTTTCTTTATGTGCCAAACAAATTGTCAGCATTGTCCTGATGAAGTAATTCTACTAGTGAAGGACCGTTGCTTTTATTAACTGCTGTACTTTTCAGGATCTTGAAGACGCTGTATCAGCTGATGAACTAGCTCAGTATCTGGACCTGAAAAAGTTGGATGAGAGTTTGTACACAGTTCAAGCTGTTTCGGCAGTTGATGGGTAAGTAGATAGATAGTAACATACTTGATGGAGAATTTAATGACTCGTTTCTCTCGTGATATCAAAAAATTTAAAACCTCAAAATGATTCTGATTTGAGTGTGATGTAGATTCTTCAAACCCATCCACCTCTACACCCACACACACTGTTGGGGATCCCATGGTCCACTCAAAAGAGGCGTGTAATAAACTAGCAATTTAACTGCAGGCTTGGGATCAAAGAAAGCATAAACTGGCTGATAGATGCTATGGAGAGAAGTAAGAGAACTGAAACATTGAGAGCTCGTGCAGGATCTGGTGTTATTTAGAAGAGGTTATAGCCATACACAATTGTACCCTTTTGTAGCTTTGTAGGTGAATCAGTTGTCAATTGGATCCTATATGATTTGACGACGAACCTGCACAAATTGAAAGTATATTGTAGGACGAGCTGTGAGTTCATTATGAAACTTGTTATTCTATTTTACGTTATTTTCAACTGCAATGAAGAAAAAATTTGAGATTATCTCTCGTAAATTTTGATGCCAACTGCTGCAGACGAGGAAATTATTTTGCATTATGCCATTTTAATATTTTGAGTTGTTTGATAAACTAAAGAGGACTAGTAGATCATACTGTCCCCTTCGTTGAAACAGATTGTACCTCTCTGTAATAAAAATACAATATGGTAATCTGAATCTAATATGGCAACTAATCAGACGGCATTTGATGAACTCATGTATCAATTTTGGGGATCTTAGAAACCATAAAATCATACGTCTATATAGGCATCTTTACAAGAGGAGCCAAGATGGAGCCAATCAATTTGGCACTGTGCAGCTTGGCGGAGTGACTTTTTCTTCCATAGCAGGGTTGAGGTTCTGCAAATAAAAGCATGATCGCACCACCAATGCAAGTTTATCTCCATAAAAGTTGGAAGGTCGGGGGTGACTTTTTCGTCGATTGCTGGTTGAGGTTCTGCAAATAAAAGCATGATCGCGCTACCAATGCAAGTTTATCTTCATAAAAGTTGGAAGGTTACATATGAAGAAACAAAGATGAAAACATCCTTGATAAAGAGGATTTTGAACTGCCGAGTTAAAAAGAAAGAAAAGCCACTAATAACCACACTGGAGATAACCCGGGCCTATCGATCACATAGAATCTCACTAGAAATAAGTGCCTTGGGCCTAGTCTTGAACAAAATCTTGTGACGCAATCACATTCAATTCCACCCTCGAACTTTCGTCCCTCTCTTCTTCATTTTGTAGTTTAATCTTCTTCAAACTAAAATCGGTTACTTCAGCATCACATTTGTTCAGGTTAGCTCTTGGTATCCAACTGAAAACGTGTTAAGTTACCTGAAAAACACAACAATTCTGACGAATTCTCAATAAAGAAAAGGGAATCCAGTTAATAAAAAGCAACCCCTTATAGGGTTTACAGTTAAATCGCTTCTTCACCACGTTCTAATTTTTTTTTTTTAAATAATCACGACAAGTTCACAAGGTTTTCGGTTTGAACTGGACAATTTTAATGGTGGGTTTCACACCGGTTTCTATAGTATGATCGGACTGGATTTCGGTTCGGTTCCAGATTTCCGGTCGAACCTGCTGGTCCGATCCGATTTCCAGAACATCGATAAAAATACATAATATAGCGCTTCCTCCAAAATATATGAAAAAGTAGACGTTCACAGCTTTCCGTACGAAATTTATGAATTTGAAGGTGCATGAGCAGCATATGCAGATAATCAAACTGGTTCATCAGAGAACCAGAGGCATGGAACTAGCATAATCAACCCCGAGAACCGATATCGATCGACCATAGTTTGAAGTCGGCCAGTTAAGTTTGGTCATATATTCATCGTATACACCCAAGTCGAGATCAATAATCATGTCTTGAATTCATTGTTCTGGTGCTGTAGATTTAATTTATTGTAGGTGGTTCTAGGAGTATGCGTAGATAATAATTACGAGTAAGCATGTCACACGTGCAAGAATACAACTGATGACGGACATAATTGAACAAGAATCGGAACTACAGACTAAGGAGATATGGAAGAAGAGAAAGAAAGGAAGAAAGAAGGAAAGTAGGGGGAGAAAGACAGACGAAAGAAGCAATTTACAGAGGTCTAATTTGATTAGGAAATAACTAATTCAATCAAACAAAACTAAAATTATAGAAGAAGGGAAAGTAGGAAAGAAGAAGAAGAGATATAAAGAGAAAGAGAAGAAGACAGGAGAAAGAAAGGGGAGAGCAATCAGAAACACAGACGGATAGCAGAAAGAGAAGCACATGAATATGTCCAATAGCTAGCTTAATGGCAAACAACCCGCTTCTAACGAATGTTGTACTGTCTACCTCGAAAATGAAGGCATTCTGGTAGGATCAAGATGAATAGATAAAAATTAAAATTTATCGATTTCCACAGACTTCATAAAGGATTAAAAAAAAAAAACCTTCACAAACAACCTTGTATGACACTCACTCATGAAAATATATAGCCTATTTAAAATTTTCTCCACGCGACCTATATAAAAACAAAATGTTTTTGTTACATGATCCTTTTTTCACCACGACCCATGTGATAATCCAAAAAAACTTGTACAACTCCAGAATTTTCAGTTGTGGAGTGGATTTGGTCCATAAGGGACAAGCCGTCGCGATACGATATGCACTTTCTTGCCCTTGTTTTCCTTCAATTCTGCATAGCGAGGAATTGTGTTGAAATACTTCAAGAAAGTGGAAAAGAATCTCTCTCTTATTCTTTGTTCATTTTCCTCATTTGCTGCACTTTTTATGTGCCTACAACTGGATATATGGATCTGTGCTAAAAGGATTATGAATAGGATAGACAGGCAAGAAGCAGACTGGATTCTCATATCTAACTGGATTAGAATGGAGAAGTGGAAAATAAATTTTGAAAGAGAGAAAATAAAAAGTTGCTTGTTTTATATGTTAGGAATGATTTTTCTAAACTCTATTTATAGTGAAAGGTGGCCCAAAGTCGAACACAAATTAACAAGTATCTTGTAAGATAACATTTCAAGAAAATGGTTGAAGTTAAATGTCATTTACATAAACAAAAGTTGACTTTTAGTTTTCTATTATTTCGGTAGTACGGATGTAATGTTAACGAGGACATTAAGATAAATATATAGTTTAATAAGATTAAAAATGAGAACATCTATTAAAAAGTGTTGAGTTTAAGATAATTCGTCTTGAAAAAATCAATTTTGATAATAGATGTAGTCTGTATTCAAACGATATCAAATCTTTACCCTTGCACGTTTTGCAGTTTTAAGAACATCAATCATAAAATCCGATAGTTTGTTTGAGGCATATCGAATTGTTTGTTTCGAGCTTTTTGAGCTCTGATTCCATATTGAAGACTCATTTGATATGTCTTTTACTTCCTATAAAAAAGTTTCCTAATGAAGTTATCTTAATTATTGTTTAAAAATTAATTTCTAAAATAGCTTTTTATTTGGAAATGTGTTTTTAAAGAAAATCATGTTGAACTATCTTGTCCTAAAATCCCTTCTAATTAAAAGAAACATTTCTATAAAATTAATCAAACAAACTCAAAAACAGCTTTTATGTTTCAAAAGTCATGCCACGTGGGCTTAGTCTTGTGTTGTACCATTGCATAATATTAGTACAAATGTACCATTGCCACCATCCATAGTATGAATCATGTAAGTTTTAAAAGTAGACTGAGAACACGCAAGTTTTTCAATTTGTCAACCATTAGGAAAAAAGCCAACCTGATGTCATATTGCTGGCCGACCACTATTTAAACATGATAATGACATTAAAAATTAAAATCAGGAAAAATTCTGGGATACATAGTACCGAGATTAAATAAGAAAATAAACGAACTTTTGACTTCATTTATCATATATACTATATCAAATTCATCGTGTCAAATATATTATCGATAGCTCTACATATATCCCGTATTTTCATTTTTCAAGATAATTTTCGATGTGATATCCTAGAATTATTGGTACATAAATAATGGTACAATGTATTCTCATGGTTTTGTGTCTTCTGCAGGCTTCGCGTAGCAACAAGTTATGGCACGCCACCATCCATGGCGACGGGAATGAAATTGGGAAGACGTTTTGAAAAGAAAAAATAAAACATATATTAATTAATATTATTATCAATTTGTCAACTCTTTAGAAATGCCAGCACCCAACCAGATGGCAACCTGCCGGCAGCTTCTTCATGGTTCGAACTCAAAATTATATTAATACTTTTGTGAAAGCGTGTGATTTGATCTTTGTTGAGTTTAAGCTAATATTGATCGTGTCAATCCTCATATTTTTTAGACAGCTTGACCTAGTTTAGCTCACCAAACAAATACATTTGACATACAGCGATTTGCAAGAAAAATGTTTTATGTATTGAAACTTCTGATTCATTGTTCAATGGAAGTGTAATGATTTTAATGCAATAGACAATGAGTCGTCTATGTTGTCTCTTGTTGTGTCGTTGAAATCGAACTAGATCAACAGGTTTAAATAGAAAAACCGAGCATGAAGGAAGATGGTGATAATTGGTAATGAGCAAGGCTAGCTAGTGTGTGACTAGCAACAAATTGCATAAAGGTGCAACTCCACGGACTACGGGCCATGATAAATTCCCATTTATTAAGCGCTGAATCCACGCTTCACCCAACACTTTTTGTACAAGGCCAACAAGAAAGCCTTCGCTCTCCACGTGGGGGCATCTTGCCAATTTTCTTTAGGCGAATTTTTCAGTAAAGCCCCCCTTTCAACGCTCAAGATGAATCACACCCTTGTTAAATTTTTATTTTACATATAAATTATCTGGTTTTCCGAATTTATTTTTATTCTCTCTCCTTCGACTTAGAAAAGTACGAGAGCAAATACAGATTCTTTGAACTCCGAATAACCTGGCCACTAACTCCATCAATACACACCAAGAGTTCAAGAATTTAAGCACAAGATTTGCTCGATATATCTGTTAAATAGAATAAAACACGAGCCTAATACGCAAATAACTAGTACAAGTACAGATTTAAGAAGCCTCGGTCATTATTTAATTCGACAAACAGGATAGTAAATCGAGTTCATTACAGCCTTACACCAAAGATAGATACTCGTATGAAAAAAAAATAGTAAAGCAGCAGCCAAACATTATAATTCTCCCCACTTTGCTAATCGATAAGAGCTCATTCTTTCTTTTCAGCATCATCAGCAGGTACAGTTTCCTTCTCAAGAATTGCTGACGGGCCATCTTCAGCAGGCTTAGCAGCATCACCTTAAGTTGCCTCTGCTGTTTGACCTTCAGTCGCTCCATCACTTACCGGCACAGAACTTTTGATAGTTCCAACCTTGACATATTTGCTCATGAACTTGTATTCCCAATCTTGTAAGGCCTCGAGCGCAAACGTACGTAGGCCAGTGAGATCACCGTTGAGATCTTTATCTTCAAAAGACATTTTCGCAAGTGCTCGACTCGCATCCTTTCCAGCAAACAAGGCATAAGGTCCACCTGGTCCATAGAACATCCTGCAGACAACACACCAAATGTCCCATAAAATTTTACGCGGAGATAAGATAACTTGCTTTTAGAAGGTTCTACACTTGACCAGTTGACCCCAATCATTTCAAAGTTCAAAGATGAAAATTGCACTATTTTTGGAATATTCAAGCCAAAATTAAAAAGGATAGCAAATCTTACCACAGCGGTATATTGTGATGTGGTAGTCAACAAAAACATTACAAGAATCTTGGAAGGAAAACAATAAATTATAATATAACCCCCATTTGGGCTACCTTTTTATCTCATTAAAATGAAAAATATGACCGTTATCCATCACATCAATATTTATTTTCAAATTTTCTATCTCGTGTGAGCTCTAATAACGACTATATTTTTCATTCTCATTCTACAATAAGGTGGTTCGGGCCATAATGTCAACGATCATTTTAGAGCTACTTCCGCAAGTGCCACGGAAAGACGAGTCAACAACTGCTAAGGTTCTCAAATCAGGCAGAGGCTTATTTTATATGAGATATTTTCTCACATCATCTACTTAAAACAATTGCACAGAATAAATATTCAGATCTCAATAAAAAGATTGTTATCACAAGATAAAAGAATAAAATGGTACATTGAATTGAAAGGCGATTAGCCAATTTCTTTAGTTGCCAAGAAGGCCATAGTCTAGTGGTAAAGAAAAACAGATAAAAGGCCACCCAGGTGAGACATCTCAAGTCTATATGTATGGGTTGTGGTATTGTTGATTAATGAATACCCATTTCCAGTTCTGGATTAGGTCCTCCATCATTGTGTGAAGTCCTCAAGTGGGTATGAAGCAGGAGGAAAAAGGGGTAGAAAATAAAATGGTCTATTTCATTGTTCAAACACAATTGTGTAATGCTTTAATGGAATTACTTGGCTCCAAGCAATACAAAAATAACTTGATTGAGCACTGTCATGTCGTAAAATGAAGTTGTTTGGCTGTTATATGCAGTGTTCTAAATGAATAAAAACCGAAGACATATCCAATATAATCATAAAAACTGCAATTACTCGAATAATTTATGCTCCAAGTGATCGGCAGCAACTGACCAAAAGTTAAGAAGTTCCGGATAAAGGCTATGAATTTCTAATCACATGTAATTATCGATATTAGCAAACTGAGAATTCATTAGTCCTCACGGAAAAACCTGGTAATTTGTATTTCTGGAAACGGAAAACAAATGTCACAAAGGGAATTTGAAACCTTTATACACACAAATTTTTGAAATAGAAGTGAAGTAAAAGTAATTACTCCAAGATTTTTTTTTTTATATGAGTAATTACTCCAAGATTGAGAAAGCATAAAAAGTGGAATAATCAAAAAATGTAAAAAATCGAAAAACGGAATAAAGCAATGATTGAAAGCCAGAATCAGTTGTCAGTGGCCATAAAGGCAGAATCAG